CGGACTGTGTGTGTTCAAAGTCCCTTTTGGGGACTCCAACTCCCACACTCCCCAGCCTTGAACGTATGACCCTCGGGGGAGGGGAGGCTGCCTCATTTGCTTTTTCCCGGTGCTGCTTTCCACCTGCCTGTGCCAGAGCCTTGTTTGGATGTTGAGATTAGCAAGGTTGACTCTGAGCCTGTGCAGAGTGCGAGTGGCCAGTGTGCAGAGTGGATCCCCCAGCCGGGCTGGGGTGGGGTCAGGTACAATTGGCTGTTTAAATAATGTTTTTTGGTATTTTGAAAAAAGCCTCAATTGAATTTATTTTTATTTTTTAACATGACTGTTTCTTGGTTGGTTCACTAAGAGACATTTATTGGCAGCTATTTTAATACAATTGAGACGTGATGGTGTTGCAGGTTAACCGCAGAAGCCTCTGTGCTGCAAAGTCAGAAGCCCAGCCATTGTAAGATCGAATCCACGCAATGGAGTGAGCTCCCGTCACTTTGTCCCAGCTCCTGCCAACCTAGCAATCCGAAAGCATGTAAATGCGAGTAGATAAATAGGTACCACCATGGTGGGAAGGTAACGGCGTTCCGTGTCTAGTCGCGCTGGCCACATGACCACGGAAACTGTCTACGGACAAAACACTGACTCTATGGCTTGGAGACAGGGATGAACACTGCCCCCTAGAGTCAGACACAACTGGGCTAAATGTCAAGGGGAACCTTTACCTTTATTGTAATAAAATTGTATTGATTGCGGGTTTAATCTGGAACGATTCAAATGAAACATTCAATACGTCCTCCTCTGTCCTCTTTTTTGTCTTTCTATGTCCTCCTTTTGGTACCCGTGTATATGGCAACCCTATGCAGGGGCAGCCATTTTGACTGCCAATCAGACATGGAGGAAGCAGCCTTCCTTCACATGCTGCCATTTTTGTCAGGGGCATGGCTGAAAACTATAATGGAGGCTAAACACAATCACCGCATGCTGCTTGAAATGACGCTGCTGCCTCTGTTCCTGCCACACAGCCATGCCAAGCCGACTTACAAAACAGAATGTGTAGTAATGGTTTGCAGAATACACCTGAATACATTTTTGTGGATGAGTCCTTGAATCTGGTGATAATCCTGCACCCATGACCTGGTTACAGTTACATTGTCCTCTTTTTTGTACAGAACACAATCAAAACTGATTTGGATGTATGCAGATCTAAATATTCCTGTCTGATAAATTGATACACAATCAATATAGGCAGATCTAAATATACCTATCTGATAACTGATAAACAGCCAGAAAATCCATTCAGCTTTGAAAATAATCTACTGACAATTTGATGCTGACTATATGGCCACTCTTTCTGTTTCATGTGCTAGGGCAAAAAAACAGTTTGTCTTTATGAATAAGAGAACTACAGTTTCTTCTTTGCATTTGTAGGCATCCCACTGGGTCTACAGATGAGGTGCAGTGGCCCCCGTACAATGCCATGGAGAAGAACTACTTCCACATCAGCACCGGGACGCCCCAGATCAAACCGATATCGCCAGCCCCACACTGTGATTTCCTAGCCACACTTTGAATATGACTCACACAAGTAAGTGCAGCATTTGGCTTTGTATGGAAAACGAATGCACAAAATCAGGATCCAAATACTTTCTTAAATGAGAATAAAGTCTTTATGAATGAAATGGTGTGTCTGGCAAATAAAGAAATATGGATTCTTCTAACCATAGCTCTCTCATGGGAAGGCAAAGATTCCAGGAGCCGGTAGAGAGGATGTGTAGGAACATAAAAAAAATTACTCCCAAATGTTTTCTCGATGGCTTTCACGGGCAGGATCCGATGTTTGTTGTTTGGGGTGGGGGGGATTTTAGAATTTTAGATAGATAGATAGATAGGTAGGTAGATAGATATAGATATAGATTTAAATCTACAATCCCCCCACCCCAAACAACAAGCATATATGTATATGTATATGTGTATATATATATAAAAGCACCAGCCAGCCCTAACACACACCTACACCCACACCCACATATATATATGTGTGTGTGTGGGTGTGTATGTGTGTATGTGTGTGGGTGTGGGTGTGTGCGTGCGTGCGTGTGTGTGTGT